TAATTCTATTAATTCATCGCAATTCCATTGTTTTGAGATTACTTAATTCCTATAATTCTAAATTAATTCCTGTAATTTCAATTTAATTTTCGTAATATTGTAAATTAATTTAAACATTAATTTTAATAGTTAGAGGTGGGATTATTCTGATCTTTTTTGATGAGAAAGTTTAAGTCTATTTTATTTAACTTTGCATTAATTTTTTCTCAAAATACTTGACCATTAAGAGAGAAAAACAATTTCACAAAATTTCGAATGAAAAAAACATCGCATTTTTTCCATTTCTGTGTTGTGATGTAATATACTATTTTTTATGATAGTCTTTGAAATTACTTATTTCTTGAAACGGACAATTCTCTGAATTCCACCTACCGTTAGAAAATTTATTTCTTACGTTTCGAGTAAAAAAACATTGAATTTTTTCCATTTCTGCGTTGTGATGTAATATACTATTTTTTGTGATAGTCTTTGAAATTATTTATTTCTTAAAGCGGACAATTCTCTGAATTCCACCTACCGTTAGAAAAAAAATATTTCTAACATTTCGAGTGAAAACAAACATCGCATTTTTTTTTCTGCGTTGCGATGTAATATACTATTTTTTGTGATAGTCTTGGAAATTATTTATTTCTTAAAACGAACGATTCCCTGAATTCCACCTACCGTTAGAAAATTAATTTCTCGTGTAAACCGATCAACAAACACGTTTCAGAGAAGCTGAAACCTCACAGTGAAGATCCTCACATTGAATAAAATCGCAGACTAGACTTAATGAATAATTAAAAGAGTGTCAAGAGCAATTCGAGTCATTGTTTTCCGATCATTTCAACATTATGTTTGTGGGTCATTTAATAACAATTTTAATAACAACAATTCATGGATTTCCAGTGGCAAACCCAAAAATACCATCAGCGAAAGTCGTAAGTTAGTTCCTGTTGACATTCAAACGTGAAAAAAATCACCATTGTTTTAGTTGGATTTTTTGAAAAACTTTGGATATATCGAGAGTGACGATGACAGTTTTGGTGCTCTCTACACTGAAAGTGGCATTTCCGAGACGATAAAAAACGTGCAAAAGTTCGGGGATTTACCCCAAACTGGCATTTTGGACAACAAAACACTCACGGTAATTTTTTCCCATAATTAACAATTCTAATAATTTAACCCAGAATTAATTCGAAATTAATGTATTTTATAAATATAATTGCTTCAATCTTAATTTCAGGCTGAAATAAAGCAATTTGTGATATTTTCAATCGATTTGGCTCAATTTGAAGTTGGGAATCAACCTGAATCAAAGWATTTCAACCAAATACTGACTTAAATAAGAGTTTTCTTCCAGAATAAAGCAATTTGAGCTATTGTCAATACAATTTTGCTCGATTTTACTACAGAATTAATTCAAAA